GAGTGTCCCCAACCCTGTCCCCAGCGCCTCCATGTCCCCTCCATCCCCAAGGTCCTGGAGTGTCCCCAACCCTGTCCCCAAGGCCCCATTGTCCCCTCCATTCCTGGGGTCCCAGAGTGTCCCCAACCCTGTCCCCAATGCCCCACTGTCCCCTCCATTCCTGGGGTCCCAGAGTGTCCCCAACCCTGTCCCCAGCACCTCCATGTCCCCTCCATCCCCGGGGTCCCAGAACATCCCCAACCCCATCTTCACTCCTCCTCCATGTCCCCTCCACCCCCAGGGTCCTGGCCTGTCCCCCCCCAGCCCCACACCATTCCCTCCATCCCCCAGCTCCCAGAGCATCCCCCAACCTTGTCCCCACGTCCCCTCCACCCCCAGTGTCCCCCCCGTGTCCCCCTGCCCTTCCCGGCTGTCCCCACCTTGCCGAAGACGGTGTTGAGGAAGGGGGAGTAGGTCTTGGTGGCAGCGGCGTGGGGGTCCCCAAGTCCCTTCTTGCTGTTCTTCTGCCCGTGGCCACCGTGCCGGGACTCAGAGCCAGGGCTCTTGGTGGCCGGGGGGCCACCTTCCTCGGGGGTTTTGGGGGTTTTCTCGCCCACCTCCCCCCCACCTTTCCCCTTCCCCGGGGTCTCCGTGTCCTTTGGGGTCCCCTTGTCCCCCCGCGAGCGTGGCATGGGGCTGGGGGCGGGTGGCAAGCGGGCAGGGAGCAGGACCCCGAGGTGGCCAAGCCTTAAGAAGGACCAGGACAATCCTCTTACGCCCCGACGTACCCCCCCTGGCCTCCCCCCCCGCCGTGGGCTCCCTGGACCCAGGCAGGGCAAAGCCAATTAGCGGTGATTAGTGACAGGAAATGGTCACCGGCCGCTGCCACCACCCCGCGGCCTCACGTCAGGGTAGAGGCCACATGGCCACGGCACCCCCAGTTACTGGCCAGGTCTCCAGAGCATGTCCTGGGGACATCATCCCATTCCAACCCTCGTCCCCAACACTCACCCTGGGGCCACCACCAGTGTCCTCAGCACCAACCCGTGTCCCCAGCACCAACCCATGTCCCCAACGCTCTCACCTCATGGCCAACATCATTGTCCCCAGCAATAAACCATGTCCCCAACCTTCTTACCTCATGGCCACCACCTGTGTCCCCAGCACCAACCCATGTCCCCAACACTCTCACCTCGTGGCCACCATCAGTGTCCCCAGCAATAAACCATGTCCCCAACCTTCATACCCCATGGCCACCACCTGCGTCCCCAGCACCAGCCCGTGTCCCCAACGCTCTCACCTCGTGGCCACCATCAGTGTCCCCAGCACCAACCCCTGTCCCCTGTGCTCTCAACCCATGGCCACCACCCATGTCCCCAGCACCAACCTGTGTCCCCAGCATCAACCATATCCCCAGGGCTCTCACCCTGTGGCCACCACCCGTGTCCCCAGCACCAACCCATGTCCCCAGCACCCACCCATGTCCCCAGGGCTCTCAACCCATGGCCACCACCCATGTCCCCAGCACCAACCTGTGTCCCCAGCATCAACCATATCCCCAGGGCTCTCACCCTGTGGCCACCACCCATGTCCCCAGCACCAATCCAACCCTCGTCCCCAACACTCACCCTGGGGCCACCACCAGTGTCCTCAGCACCAACCCGTGTCCCCAGCACCAACCCATGTCCCCAGCGCTCTCACCTTGTGGCCACCATCAGTGTCCCCAGCACCAACCCATGTCCCCAACGCTCTCACCTCATGGCCAACATCATTGTCCCCAGCAATAAACCATGTCCCCAACCTTCTTACCTCATGGCCACCACCTGTGTCCCCAGCACCGACGCACGTCCCCAGCACCAACCCATGTCCCCAGCACCAACCCCTGTCCCCTGTGCTCTCAACCCATGGCCTCCACCCATGTCCCCAGCACCAACCCCTGTCCCCTGTGCTCTCAACCCATGGCCTCCACCCATGTCCCCAGCACCAACCCCTGTCCCCTGTGCTCTCAACCCATGGCCTCCACCCATGTCCCCAGCACCAACCCCTGTCCCCTGTGCTCTCAACCCATGGCCTCCACCCATGTCCCCAGCACCAACCCCTGTCCCCTGTGCTCTCAACCCATGGCCTCCACCCATGTCCCCAGCACCAACCCCTGTCCCCTGTGCTCTCAACCCATGGCCTCCACCCATGTCCCCAGCACCAACCCCTGTCCCCTGTGCTCTCAACCCATGGCCTCCACCCATGTCCCCAGCACCAACCCCTGTCCCCTGTGCTCTCAACCCATGGCCTCCACCCATGTCCCCAGCACCAACCCCTGTCCCCTGTGCTCTCAACCCATGGCCTCCACCCATGTCCCCAGCACCAACCCCTGTCCCCTGTGCTCTCAACCCATGGCCTCCACCCATGTCCCCAGCACCAACCCCTGTCCCCTGTGCTCTCAACCCATGGCCTCCACCCATGTCCCCAGCACCAACCCCTGTCCCCTGTGCTCTCAACCCATGGCCCCCACCCATGTCCCCAGCACCAACCTGTGTCCCCAGCATCAACCATATCCCCAGGGCTCTCACCCTGTGGCCACCACCCGTGTCCCCAGCACCCACCCATGTCCCCAGCACCCACCCATGTCCCCAGGGCTCTCAACCCATGGCCACCACCCATGTCCCCAGCACCAACCTGTGTCCCCAGCATCAACCATATCCCCAGGGCTCTCACCCTGTGGCCACCACCCATGTCCCCAGCACCAATCCACGTCCCCAGTGCTCTCAACCCATGGCCACCACCCATGTCCCCAGCATCAACCATGTCCCCAGGGCTCTCACCCTGTGGCCACCACCTGTGTCCCCAGCATCAACCTGTGTCCCCAGCACCGACGCACGTCCCCAGCACCAACCCGTGTCCCCAGTATCAACCATGTCCCCAGGGCTCTCACCCTGTGGCCACCACCTGTGTCCCCAGCATCAACCTGTGTCCCCAGCACCGACGCACGTCCCCAGGGCTCTCAACCCATGGTCACCATCTGTGTCCCCAGCACCAACCCACATCCCCAGTGCTCTCAACCCATGGCCACCACCTGTGTCCCCAGCACCAACCCGTGTCCCCAGTGCTCTCACCCTGTGGCCACCACCCGTGACCCCAAGCCCAGGCACCCATCCCCCCAGGCGGGATGTGACAGCCACGGGTGCCGTGGTGGCACAGCCCCCCCGTGTCACCGCGATACCATCAGC